AGTATTAGGGAGTGTATTATATGTAATTAGGTTAAAGGGTATTCGGATAAAGTACACTATATGTAATTAATTGTTTACTTACTTTTTATGATAGAAAACCTATATATATATATATATATATAAGGCAGTGGTACTTAATAAAGTGTGCATTCAACCATTCTTGACAAATAGCTCACCCATCTAAGCATGGACATCCATATATTGCATGGAGATCATATCCTGTTGCATTATTATTTTTTTATGTACTGTCTTTCTAATATTAGTTAGACAATCAAATATTTTATATTTTTATTTTAAAAAAATATTTGATTAATTTTTAAAGATGTTATTTAAGTATCCTTCTTATTAACAAATGATTGGTTATTAATTATATTTTTGGAATTTTTGTCAACATGACTTGATAATGTTTCTTCTCTTTTTGATTTACAGGGCTATATCCTGGTTATATCATATTCTTCATTCAGCAAGTGCTGATGATTGCTGGTTCAAGAGGTATTCAATATCTACTATGTTTTATACATTTTGATGATTGATTCAAATTATATCATATTCTTATTTTGTCCCATGATTTTTGCTACCTTTTGAGTTGTCACCTACAAATGACACGAAGACATGACTCCAGTTAATTTTCTTTTTATTCATAACCTCTTGCTTACCAATTTCTAAGCACTCATAATGTAAGTCCTCCTAGCTTTCTATTTGTTCGATTTCCTTTTATTTTTTTATCTAATGCTGAAATTCAACATTTTTAGAAGTTTTAATGCTTTTATTATTGTACGAAACATGTGTTAGTATGCATAAAAAATTTGCCTCTTACATGCGTGTGTATTATATAGGAATCATTATTCCCATTATGTTGATTCTACTGCAGTCCCCAGAAAGTCTTTCCTATTGGAAGTGCGTTGGAAATAGTGAGAGGTTTCAAGTAGTAGAAGCTGCATTTTGATCGTTTCTTTTGTGGTGACTCATTCCCAAACAAGATATGCCTTTACACGTTCGTTCCAACAATTACATTCTCTAGTCTCTTGGTCTTGGGCCTGAAGAAAAAATGTTTTTATCTCTTAAAATAAATGTGTCTTGAAGCCTCATTTAATTACGAGTTATCTTCTCTTGTTGCAAAAATAAAAAAGGGTAAGGTTTCTCTTAATTTAAAGTATAAGAACCTTTGATTATTGCACATAAAGAGTACATTGTACCTAAGTTTCTTAGTCCAAATTATAAGAGTTTCATCAAATATTAAAAATTTCTCAATCCAAGATAGGTCTTCCTCCGTTTATCGTTTGGAAACTAAATGTTTTTGATCTTTTGGTGCAAAAACAAATGTTGTTTGGTGCCAAAAGTGTTTTATTCTGAAAGGTTGAATGCTTAATTCATTGTTTTAATAATTAAAGTGTCTCGATTTATTATTTCATAATAAATATGTCTCACTATCTAAGCAAATTGTTCATAATCGCAAATGGAACCCATATTAAAACCATCCAGATCAGGAGTCTTGTCTCTCTTTCACGACATAAGATTGTCATGAATCTCCTATTCCAAAAAATCTCTCTCCAACTCAAGCCTGGTGGGGATCATCATGAACTATGAAATTAATGCCATTCAATCTGGGCCTCCAAATTGACTCTTCCTGATATGACCTACTAAAATATTCTCTCGTTTTCCTTCTGAACTCCTCATTATCCGAAATCTCTTTGATCTATTATGATCGCCTCCACATAGTTATTTCTTCGATGATGACGTGCCATGCTCTGAAAGAACTAGGTATTTCGATCCCCTTCCCTTATCCATCTATCTTCTCCATCTGTAGTTCAGAAGCCACTTCAACTTTCAAGGACTCTCTCCTGGCTATGTCATTGGTCTTTAGTGGTCCCTCCCTTTCCCTACCATCAATTCTCTCAATCTTGTCCATCATCATCGTCACCTCTCTTTCATATATAATCCCTCCTTTGTTCCTCCTCTTTATTTTAGCTTTAACAAACTTTTGTCCTATGTGCTTACATTGGGGCAATAATTCGGTCTAAGCATTGCTCATACGTACTGCAAAAGGACAGAGCCAAACAAATAGAGGTTAGCAGATATTTCATCAAGGAAAAGCTAGACAATGATTTAGTAGGTATTCTATATATGCTGACTAATTCACAACTTGTAGATATGTTGACTAAAAGCTTGAATAATCTAGCATTTTAAAACATTATTAGCAAGTTGACAATGTCTATTCTCTAGTGTGAGGAGTATTAGGGAGAGTATATTATATGTAATTAGGTTAAATGGTATTAGGATAAAGTAAACTATATGTAATTACTTGTCTATTTACTTTTTGTGATAGAAAACCTATACATATATAAGGCGGTGGTATTTAGTAAAGTGCACATTCAACCATTCTTAATAAATAGTTCACTCATCTAAGCATGGACATCGATTATTGCAAGCAGATCATATCATATTAAATTATCATTTTTCTCTATGTATTATCTCTCTAGTATTAGTTAGACAGTCATATATTTTATATTTCTATTCAAAAAAAATATTTAGTTAGTTTTAAAAGATATTATTTCAGTTTTATTTTTATTAACAAATGATTGGTTATTGATTATGTTGTTGAAACTTTTGTGAACATAACTTGATAATTTTTCTTCTCTCCTTGATTTACAGGGCTCCTAGTTATGTCATATTCTTCATTTAACAAGTGCTGATGATTGCTGGTTCAAGAGGTATGCAATATCTTCTATATTTTATACATTTTGGTGGTTGATTCAGATTATATCATATTCTTATTTTGTCCCATGATTTTTGCTGCTTTTTGAGTTGTCACCTATGAATGGTGCGAAGACACGACTCCAAATTTGGTCCTCAATAAAATTGTCCTACACAGTTATGGTTCTAAAGTGTTCATTTGTTGGCTTTACGGTATTTTTTTTAATTGATTACCTCTTGCTCGCTGACTTCTAAGCACTCATAATGTAAGTCCTCCTAGCTTTTTATTTGTTTGATTTCTTTTTATTATTTATCCAAAGCTGAAGTTCAACATTTTTAAAGGTTTTAATACTTTTACTATTGTATGAAACATGTGTTAGTGTGAATCAAAACTTTGCCTCTTACATGCGTGTGTTTTATATAGGAACCATTTTTCCCATTATGTTAATTCTACTTTCCTATATAATCCCCAGAAAATCTTTCTTATTTGAAGTGCGTTGGGAAGAGTAAGAGCTTTCAAGTAGTAGAGGCTGCGTTTTGATAGTTTCTTTTATGGTGACTCATTGCCAAACAAGATATGCCTTTACACTTTCGTTCCAACAGGTAGATTCTCTAGTCTCATAGTTTTGGACCTAAAGAAAAAATATTTTTATCTCTTAAAATAAAAGTGTCTTGAAGCCTCATTTAATTACGAACTTTCTTCTCTTGGTGCAAAAATAAAAATTGTAAGGTTTCTCTTAATTTGAAGTATAAGAACCTTTGGTCATTGCACACAGAGAGTACATTGTACCTAAGTTTCTAATCCAAATTATAAGAGTTTTATCAAACATTAAGAATGTCTCAATCCCAAATAAGGCTGCCTCATTTTATTATTTTGAAAAACTAAAGTTTTTTCATCTTTTGGTGCAAAAACATGAGCTGTTTGGTGTTAAAAGTGTCTTAATCTGAAAGTTTGAATGCTTAATTCATTGTTTTGTTAATTGAAGTGTCTTGATTTATTATTTCATAATAAATGTGTATCACCTCTCTTAGCAAACTCCTTCATAATTCTGATTGAAACCCATATTAAAACCATTGGATCATGAGTCTTATTTCTCTTGCACGATGGAAGACTATCATGAATCTCCTCTTCCGATGATTGCTATATCCTGATTATGCCATATTCTTCATTCAGCAAGTGCGGTTGATTGCTGGTTCAAGATGTATGCAATATCTACTATGTTTAATACATTTTGGTGGTTGATTAAAATTATATCATATTCTTTTTTTGTCCCATAATTTTTGCTGCCTTTTGAGTTGTCACCTACGGATGACACAAAAACACAATTCCAAATATGTCCTCAATAAAATTGGCGGACATAGTTATGGTTTTAAAGTATTCATTTGTTGGCTTTACGATAATTTTCTTTTTATTCATTGCCTGTTACTCACTGACTTCTAAGCACCCATAATGTAAGTCCTCCTAACTTTCTATTTGTTGTATTTCTTTTTTATTGTTTATCTAAAGCTGAAGTTCAACATTTTTAGAGATTTTAATGCTTTTATTATTGTTTGAACCATATGTTAGTATGCATCAAAATTTTGCCTCTTACATGCCTATGTATTATATAAGAACTATTATTCCCTTTATATTGATTCTACTTTCTTATACAGTCCCCCAGAAAGTCTTTCCTTTTTGAAGTGTGTTGGGAATAGTGAGAGCATTCAAGTAGTAGAAGCTTTATTTCGAATCGTTTCGTTTTTGGAACTTATTCCGAAACAAGATATGTCTTTACATTTTCGTTCCAACAATTAATTCTCTAGTCTCTTAGTCTTGGGCCTAGAGAGAAAATGTTTTTCTCTTAAAATAAATGTGTTTTGAAACCTCATTTAGTTACGACCTTTCTTCTCTTGGTGCAAAAATAAAAATGGCAAGATTTTTCTAAATTTAAAATATAAGAACCTCTGGTCACTGCACACATAGAGTACATTGTACCTAAGTTTTTTAATCCAAATTATAAGAGCACTACCAAAAATTAAAAATGTCTAAATCCCAAATAGGGCTGCCTCATTTCATCGTTTTGAAAACTAAAGTTTCTTGATCTTTTGGTGCAAAAACAAGAGTTGATGCTAACAGTTTCTGCTGTAAATTGATTTCTATAACTTGCTCAGTTCTTACTTTTTTTGGGCAACCTTGTGCTTTGCGCATTCATCAAGCGAGCAACTATCACATGGTTTTTATTTGGCTTCATCTGAGTCAATTTGGCTCACTTATGGCCCAAAAAAGCCCAAAAGGTCAAAACTGTCTTCCATGTACTTACCTCTTGGGTTTGGCCTCATTTCTCCCAAATTAGCTTCTAGGGACATTTTCCCTTTACCACACTCTTCTTCCTTAATGTATTGGCTAGTTCGTAGCCAAATTTAAGCCTTAAATTCTAAGTATTTTAGTCTCAAGACATAAATCAAGCTAAAAGGGTCAACGTAGAGTTTTTTTCGGAAACTATTACACTAAGGGTTTGGTTCCTTATATTTTTCTCTCACTTTTTCTTCTCCACAAGTCTTTCTTTTCTCATAACATTCTTTCTCCATATGTTATCTAATGTCTCTTCAAATTTCATCTCCAAATTCCATTGATCTTGGGCTTAAGAAGTGTTTCAAGCATTAAAGATCACTTCTGTTACTCAAGGGATTTTTCTTCCTCTCCTAGGGGATTTTCTCCCTCTCTTGGGGGATTTCAATCTTGATTCTTAATCTAATTACTCCTTCATGCTCATGAAGCGTCTTCTTATCTCTTACAATGTCGTTATAGTCTTGAGAAGCATTCTTGGGCCTAGAAACTCAATTACTCCTTGTGAGAAAGTTATCTTTCTAAAGGGTTTATTTTTAGCATAAAAACATCGTTTTTGCTCTGTTTGACTCAAAAATTAGTTCTTAACCTCATTACATCTTCCTTCATACATATACATGCTTAATCAACCATACCAAACATAAGCGTTCAAACTGGAAAAAATTCGGGCTATTACATGCTTTCACTATAAGGAATTTGGTCCTCCAAATTCGACTAACCATGAGGGTACTTTGCACTTCATGACGCGAGAGAGTATGAGGAGGATCGAATCTACTCCTGAAACCCACTCAACGTATGCATATTAAAATAATGACCACTTATAATAAAACCCTTCACTTTAATTGAATCTACAATCTTAAAAGAAAAGTAAAAATAAAGAATAGAGAAATAAAACATGAAAATGAAAAACGTCATAGACTTACTGATAAGTTGATGCTCGTTCTTTATGTCAACAAGACTTCTAAAAACGTCTACTTTTCGAAGAACTTTAAAAAGCTATTTTTAGCAAAAATGCTAAAAGAAAAAAAAATTCGAAACTCTCAAGAATTTTCTCAAATTTATTTTTAAAGGTGTGTTTTATATTTTAAGGGCAAATGTTTATTTATAGTTTTTCCCGGACAATGTAGATGAGTACAAAAATATTGATATAATTAATAAAATAATACTCCAAATAAAATTATATCTTAATATAAAATAATTACAAAATAAAATATTTATTTTATTTTAAATAAATTAATTTAATCATAAGGGATAGATTTATATTAAAATAAGGATAGATTTACATTAAAATAATAATTAAAATAAGTCCATCTTTATCTTATATGAAATCTATATACTCACATGTGAAAATCACATTAAAATAATAGGATAAATAATAATGATTAAAAATTATAATAAAATAATAGTCTAGGATAATTTTAAGATTAAAATATTATATAATTAATCATTAATTTGAAAATAATAATTAAATATTAATAGGATAATTACCATGTGAATTTTTTTCTAAAAATTTTGTGCTGAAAAAAAAATACATGGACCATTTAGAAAAAATCCAAAACTCATCACACCTCAACCTCATTTGTATTGGCTAAGGGAGCTTGCACTTGCGTGCGACTTGGGCTGGGCTCACGCGCGCGCAGTCTTTGGCCCTCATGGGACAGCTGCCGCGTGGGTGCCTCCTTGGCTGGGCCGACTTGATGGGTTGAATGTTCGGCTCGATTCCGTCTCTCTCGGGTGCAGGTCTGTTGGATCAGTCCCTCAGGGTGAGGATCGATCTTCAGGTCTTCCCGATGAGCCTCGGTTGGACCGCCTGCAGGGACGTGCAGCATGGGCCACCCGTTCTTCTCGGATGCGCAACTTGCTAGGTTGCGAGTTGGGCTTAGCAGGTCGGGTGGCGAGCTAGGTGGCGGGCCGGGTGACTCGGGTCGCCTGCTCGCGGGTATCTCCTATTTATGCGATGTCTCGGACATGCCACCGTCATATTTTAAGATCAATCTGAAAGCTCACAACTCATCGTCGTTGCTACTTCCTTGGGCCGATTGTCTCGGCGGCCCATAAGACTTCCCGTCTTGATGGCGTCGATGATCCATCTTACTCGATCTATGCTTGCACGAACTGGATCCTTGGACTTCATGGAATTGGGCCTTGTCGTCAAATCTTGACTCCATTTTGTTGGTCCAGGCTTCTCTTGGGCCTTGTTTCTATATTGACGTGAAATCTGATGGTTGCCTCTCGGATAAGTGGAACGCTCTCCTGGGGTCACATCACTTCCAATTGTATGACAATGAAGATATCACATCCTTTTCTTTTTTTCAAATAACTTGTTTATCTTCATAAATTAAAATCATGACTTTAATTTCTCTAAGGGTCATAAGTACTCCAAGGTTAGTTATTTTTTTCTAACTTATAAAGATAAAGTGCATTCATTAGGAATTTGTCTCCAAATCTCACCAAATTATTTCACCTTACTTAACTTCTCATAAGGGTCTATATTTTTATCCTCAAACTTAACAATGTCTAGGTGGTCTCTGAATAATACCTCAAAAATTGATCAAGTGTTCTTGGGTCCTTAACATTTAAATAATCAAGTACAAAACTCCTCATAAGGATATAGTAGACTTTATGGCTCTTAATTGCTTCTATATGACCCCAACATCCTTTTTATATTTATATTAAGCGCCAAAAATCAAATGTATATGTTTCTTGACTCTTGAGAATCAATTTTGTGGAAAATGGATCAATATCCTCTCGAATCAAGACATTTTCTCCTCACTTAGCAAACTTACTCTTTTTAGTTAAGTCGTATTGATCCTTAACTTATCAAGGTCTATTATCTCCATCCAAGTTTGTTTAAGATTTCATCATGACTCATTGATTTCTAGTGGAACCTCATTCTTAGACTTACAGTTCTTTAAAGCTCACGCATATTTCCAAAATGGGTCATCTCTTTTCTGACTTTCAAAAGTAATTGTGGATTTATTAGGAATTCGTCAGAACTTGTTATCACAGTGTACTATTAACCTAAAGTTATCAAGTTTAGGTGGCTCCTAAAAATAAGTATGGAGCTCCTTATCATATTCATAATTAATGAAACCTCCCAAAATAAATATAGAACTCCCTATCAACATATCCTGCTAGGATCCTTGGTTAAGGGGTCCATCAATGGTCTTGCCAAGATCGGTTATACTCTATTATTGTTTCCATCTCTCCAAGATTAGGTACTTTAATCTCCAAAAAAATTCTAACAATCTCCCTTAAATGGATAGTCTTAGATGATTCGAAAGTCATGACTAGTAAATCAATTTAGGTAGAGTCTACTTTATCTAAGATTCCTTTATTATTAGCATCTTCTATGATTAATTACGATTGAGATTTATTCAGAGTCTCTGGTTGGCTTTGGAGTGAAACCATAACGTTTCTTTGTTCTAATTTGTCAAATTTGTTAATCAAATGTTCTATTCTCATGACTTTCGGATGCTTGGATTCTTTCCTCTCATTATTTTCCTTTCCTCTTATCATATCCTTTATTTCCATAGATGTTTTAGAGGAAGTTCCAAAAGGTCTCCTAAGTTCCATATATTCCCATGATAGGATAATAACACTTAAAAGTTATCTTTATCTTTCTACCATCCGAACATATTTATAAGGGTTTATCTTTTTAAGGGTATTACACTTAAAGATGTTATTTTATTCAACTCAACTCTCAATTGGCGTATACTTCCTTATGTTGGGTCAACGCTTGACAGGTTTGGTCATGATCTCCAATAATACTTATCTATTTGTATCTTGAAGGTTCAAAGATATCATTTTACTTTGTTCGAGAAATCATTTTAGGAATATAGTTTGCTTATAGTCCTCAAATGGGTGATAACATACCTCTTCTTTGGTTCTTGACTTATTCTTTATTTGAATATGAAGGCAACCTTTACTGTGGTGTTTTACCCTTTCATAGTTTGAACTAGTTCTTAGTAATGGGGTGACAACATTATTTCTTAATGGCTAGTCAATAGACCTTTTTCTTCAATCAACAATATATATATATATCCTCCGAAACAC